CCAAAGCCCAGCTCATGTTGTGTTTGAGTGGATGGATGAATGGGTGTATGTACGTATTGATGGATGGATAGATGGGTGCATGGGTGGATGGGGGTTGGATGCATGGGTGGATGGAGGGGGTGGGTAGGTGGATGCATGGATGATGGATAGATGGATGGATGGATGGATGGATGACGGTTGGATGGATGGATGGGGGGTGGGTAGATGGATGCATGGATGGACGGACGGATAGATGGATGCATGGATGGATGCATGAATGGATGGATGAATGATGGATAGATGGATGATAGAATGGATGGATGGATGATGGGTGCATGGATGGATGGATGGATAGGTGGGTGGGTGGATGGATGGATGACTTGGATAGATGGGTGGTTAGATCAGTGGATGGAAGTCTAGTTGCATGGATGGGTGCCTGAAGGATGGATGGAAGGAAGGATGATGTGGATAGGTGGGTGCATGGATAGATGGATGTGTGGGTGGGTGGGAGGAGGACGGATGGGTAGGTGGGTGGGTAGATGCTTGGGTGTGTGGAGTTCTTCCTGGGGTGTCCTTCACAGTCCATCTAGGAAGGGTGGGGGTGCAGGCAAAATTGAGAGTTTCCTCTGTTGTGTAGGCCTGCAAGGGGGCCGAGAGGGAGGGCCTGGGAAGGACAAGGACCTGCCCCCTCCCCCAGTGCTGATTACTGATCCCAGGGCAGTGAGATCTGGTCCGCACATGCACGTGTCTGCGTGCCATGTCCTCATGCCACTGGTGGCTCCCCCTAGGCTCAGCCTGCTCAAGAAGGCATGTCACTTCCCATGTCAGGCTGCATTGAGGACTTGCCTCTGTGTGCCTCTGAGGGTCATGGGAAAGCTGGGGTCACTGCCCACCCATCTGACCCCAGATGTGGGGACTGGAAAATGTCTCGCAGGGTCCCATCCAGACAGCCCAGAGCAGGTGGCAGTGCAGATCTCCCCTTGTCAGCAGCATGGCCAGGCCCGGCCTCTCAATACCCGTGTGCCCTTAGTTATTCACTCAACAAACATCAGGGTGCCGGGTTCACAAGAGGCTCCATCCTAGGCTTGGGGGACCGTCGGCAGGCCCGACAGGCCAAGACCCTCTCAAGGGGCAGACAGGGGGCTGGGAAGGTGGTAGGTGAGTGAACCCTTGTGTGTTGGAAGCTGGTAACAGCTGTTGCAAACAACAGAAGGAAGGAGTACAGAGCTGGCTCCTGGGAATCTCTGTGATGCACAAGGGCTCAGAGTCTGCTGCTCTGAGGTCATGTCTGAGCTGAGCCCCTGGAGGCTGGGCATGAACCGGCATGGTGGGAAGAGGGCCCTGCCCAGGGAGAGGCTCTGAGCAAGGCAGACCAGGCCAGGAGCACATGAGGAGGACAGGAGGGCTAGGGCCCACGGTGCTAGAGGCCAGGTGTGTGGGACAGGTGCATGGAGGTCAGGTGTGTGGGGTGGGTGTGCTGAGGCCAGGTGTGTGGGGCAGGTGAGCTGAGGCCAGGTGTGTGGTGCGGGTACGTGGAGGCCGTGTGTGTGGGGCGGGTACACGGAGGCCATGTGTGTGGGGCAGGTGCATGGAGGTCAGGTGTGTGGGGTGGGTGCATGGGGGCCAGGTGCGTGGGGCAGGTGAGCTGAGGCCAGGTGTGTGGGGCTGCAGCGTGTGCACTGGCCCCTTCAGCCTGGGGCTGGCCCCACTTAAGCACTGGTGTGTCTGTGGAGGGGATGCTGGTGGGAGTGGCAAAGACCAGTTCTTGGCCCGAAGCCATGGGGTCATGCGGCTACATGCCATGGACTCTGGAGGTGTTGGCTGGGGCCTTGCTTCCCGGGACCTCCCTCCTCTCCTCCCACGGTCCTCCCCAGAGGAGTGCTGAGCAACCAAGGCAGGAGCGCAGTGCGTAAAGGACAAAGAGGGGCCTGGCGTTCCCGGGGGGCAGCATCCCAGGGTGTGACCTGGTGTCCTGAGTCAGGTGTGGGGTCAAGAGCAGTGCGGGTCGTAGCCCTCACGTGGCCAGGGAGCAATGAGGAGGGGCTGGGCCTGGCAGCCCTGAGACCCCCAGAGTTAACAGCTGGAACAGGTGGGGGCCGGGGGGCGGCTAGGTTTCCTCAGAGAGGAGGGAGTCTGGCATGGGACGAGGGGCGTCTTAGGGTGCGGACCTCCAAAGGCCGAGCTTGAGGCCCCCTTGGCCTGTTTTGCCTGCGGCAGTCTGTTGGGCTGCCAGTGTGAACCGACACCACGTCCGGGCCACACCTGCCAGCAGGTGACTCTGGGCACGGTTCTCTGTGTTGTTACCCTCATCATGGCCAGTGGTGAAACCTCTCTGTGGCCCGTTGGGCGGTGGCTGTGCCTGATTACAGGGTAGGGGTGAATGAAGGAGGAAGGGGAGGGCAAATGGGCAGCAGGCACTCAGCGGCACTGAGCAGGCACCTCAGTTTCCCTGGGTGGATCATCATGGTGGGAGGGAAGGGAAGAAGTGATATGGGTGTGTGTAGAGAAGTGACCCGGTCTGCCCTCACTCTCCTGGCCACTTCTCCCTTGACCACACGGTCTGCCCGGTGGTCTGTGTCCTATCTCTGCCCCACCTCCCTGGGGACACCACATTTCCGCGCTCGCACTCCTGGCTGGCTGCGGACTTCCTCTCTGGAAAAGCCGTGTTTGCTGGCCTGGGAGGCAGGGCTGGTGGCGTCTCGCTCCGTGCGGCGCTGTCCACGGTGCTGACCCCTCTGCCTGGAGGCTGGGTGCGCAGGGTCGGGAGGGCGTCTCAGGACGGGTGGTGCCGGGCCCCAGGGGGTGTCTTGTGCCTCTCTGGTTCCCTTGCCTTCCAAACGTTCCTTCGAGGCCAGGCGGGGGCACGCAGAGCCAGACCAATCACGTGTTGACCGGGAAGAGCCGTGTGCTCTGTGCGGCGACGCAGGACAGTTTGGATGTTTGGAAAAGTGCCTGTGATGGTGCTTGTGGGCGTCTTAACCACGTGCAGTGTGCGTTTAAGTATTGACTCTGCAGAGCTGCCCTCTGTCCTTCCATGCGCTCCGGGCGTCCTGCCGCCTGCGACGAGTGGCTTCATGAACAGTGTGCACCGATGGCCCGTCCGCAGACAGAGCTGATGGCCTGAGGGGACACTGCCCCGGTCACTGGGACGCGGCATGGGCCCCGGGACGGCCATGCCGGCCCCCCGCCCCCACCAGCCCGGGCACGCTGAGGTGCTGGTACAGGCACCACAGAAGCAGGTCCCCCAGTCCGGCACCTGCTTCAGGCGAGGAGTGCTCCCAAGAGGGTGGAACAGTGGGTTTAGAGGGACACAGGAGGATGGCTGGGTCACACGGAGACGGTCAGGTCACAGGAAGGGGAGCTGGTCACATGGGGGAGACGGGCTCACTGTGGTTATAGGACTCGGGCAACTCCTGGAGCCTCACAGGGGCAGCAGTTTTCCGACTGTGTGGTGTGGGCTGGACGCTGTCCTGCTGGTACGTTCCTACGTCCTTTGAGACACGCGCTCAGCAGGCATACGTGAGCCTGGGGTCCCCGGCGTGCTGGCAGACTCTCCTGTGTTTTGGGGGAGGACAGTTCTGTGCGAGGCCCTGGGGATTCGTGTTCCTGGCTTTCTCCTGTCCTTGTCACCTTTTTGAAGAGCTCTGCTGTTTGCAGCCATGCGGCCCTGTGTGTCCCTCCCAAGGGACATGTCACCGAGGCTGTCACACTCCCCATTCCTCTGTGCCAGTCTGCCTGCTGAGTCTGTGTCCCCCACCTGCTCCCGGCTCCAGCCTCTGGCCTCGCCAGGTGCTGCGGTTTCTCCATCCATGTGGCCTTGTGGTCTGCCCTCCCTTGTCCTGCTGCTTGTCCCAGGCAGGTCCCTCTGGCCAGAGACCGCTGCCCACCCGTTTCTGTGTTTGTTTCATCCCACGTAATCGTGTGCAAGTCACAGTGCTTGGTGGAGAGCAGCAGGGACACCCGGACCCTGCAGGAAGTGTGTGCATCTCATCAGATGTCGAAATCCATGTTCTTCGCGGAGACTGAGGGCAGTGGCTTGTGCGATGCTCATACACACGGCAGCCCCTTGGGGAAGTGGGTGCGGAGCCTGGGTCGGTGCCATGGCCCTACTGGTCCTGGGCCCAAGACTGGTGGGACAGACCAGCAGAGGAGGCTGGGTGGGGATGTGGGGTCTGATCCTCCCTGGGTCTGCCACGACCTGTGGCGTGGCCGTCGTGGGCTTCTGGGTGGTCTGCACTGGCCAAGAGTTAAAGTTGCTGAAAGCCGACATCCTGCTGGGTCCCCTTCCTGGTCCAGCAGGTGCGAGCCTCCAAGTCTGGGCTGTGGCCGGTGCCCCAGGCGGGTCTTGCTCACTGCCCCTTCCTTGACTCTCATCCTTGGAAGGGAGTGGGCGTCCAGGGGTGTGGGCCGAGCAGGGGGCTCCGGACGCTGGGTTCCCTGGACGGTCCCTCATCCTGATGGCTCCCTTCGTGCTCCCGTGTGATGTGGTCCTTTCTTTCGCTTCCGATCTGCTTCCCTACACTTCCGCATTTGCAAACATCGGATCTCTCCTGGCGTCATGTTTTCTCGGATGCTGTCCTGGGGCGGCTGTCACGTGCAGCCCAGCCCAGCGGCGTGAGCGGCAGACGTCGGTCCCTCTCAGGCCTGGAGGCTGGACGTGTGGAATCCCAGAGTGTCCTCTCTGGGTCCTCCCAGGCTCGCTCCTGCGTACACAGCTGTGTCCTGGTCCCTTCATGTTAGGAGGACACCAGTCACACGGGCCTCCCCAGTGACCTTGCTTTAACATAACAACCCCTTGGAAGACCTTATGTCCAAATGCAGCCATGCTCTGGGGTCCTGGGGGGACGCTCCCCACATGCTGTTCTGCTCTGGGACTGCAGGAAGCAGCCGTGCACGGTGGGTCCCGCCGGCACACCCGCTACCCTAGGCCGCATGGTCGTCACACGGGAGGCTCGGTGGAGGGTGTGGGAGCCGCTGCCTCGCTAGCGCCCCACGTGCACAGTGCTCTTGTTCTCTTCCAGCTTGGCGCCAACGCCCTACTCTTCCTCAGCGTGAACATGTATGGGGTGTTTGTGCGGGTCCTGGCTGAGCGCTCCCAAAGGAAAGCCTTCCTGCAGGCCCGGAAATGCATCGAGGACCGGCTCAGGCTGGAGGATGAGAACGAGAAGCAGGTCAGTGCGGCGGGGCTGCGGGCTGCAGGGACACTGGGCGTGGGGGCGTGGGGTGGGGAGCGTGGGGAGGGGAGCAGGGATGTGGGAGGGAGCACGGGGGAAGCATGGGGTGGGGGGAGGTGCATGGGGGGTGAGCCGGGGGGAGGGAGAACAGGGGGAACACAGGTCAGGGAGGAGGGGAGTGGGGAGCACGGGGTGGGAAGCACAGGGTGAGGAGAGGGGCATGGGGCTGGGTGGGGGGCGTGGAGGGTAGTGCGGGCCTGGGGTGCGGGGTAGGGAGCACAAGATGGGAGCACAGAACACAGGGTGAGGATGATTGGGGCTTTGGGCCCAGGCTGGCCCCCTTGGCGAGTCCGGGGAGACCGGGCAGCTACAGTGGGGGCCCTTAGATGTGGAGATGGAGGGTCTGCCACCCTGTGAGGCCCCCCCAGCCTCAGTTTCCCCATGGGTGAGACAAGTGTGCTCAGGTGATGCTGTAGGGCTGGGAGGTCAGGGAGCATTGCAGAGCTTGCCATGGGGGGTTGTTGCCCCAGAGCGGGAGGAGCTGTTTGAGAGTAGGGACTGGGGGGGTGTTCTGCTTGTGGGGCGGGTGTTGGGGTGGAATTCTGGTGGAATCAGCTTCTGCAGAGCTGGGAGGTGGGGGCGATGAGGCAGGTCCTGGCTGGCCCCGGTGCAGGTGTGCCGAGCCCTGACCTGCTGGCCAGAGTGACCCACCGGGAGGCAAAGCCTGCAGTGACCCTGAGGGTGTCCCTGTGCTTGTGGTCGTCGTGGCAACCCTGCGGCAGCAGCTGGGTCATTAAGCTGGGGCACACCTGCCCGGCTCCTACCACAGCCTTGCTGGGGCAGCAGGACCACCCCCAGTCGAAAGGATGAGCGGGACCACCCCCCACCGCCCAGAGCCACTGTCAGCGGTGTGTCCCTGGACTTGTCCATGACAGCAGTGTCTCCTGGTCTGCTGCTGTCCTGGGCCCCCAGGATGGTCTGGGAGCTCCAATCAAGGCCCATGACCGGGGGAGGGGGTTTCCAGTTTCTGCTTTGTTGGAGTGTCAGTGGCCGAGCCTGGTGTCCATGGGGGCGGCAGATGGGCTTGCTGGGTACGCACAAGCCTGCTGGGCTGCAGGTGCCGGGTGTGGAGTATGGGCTGCACATTTAAATGCACACACGTGTGTAGTGTTGACAGCGAGGGTGTGTGATGGTGTAGAAGCACACGGTATGTGTGTTCGGAGCCTGTGTGTGTCAGTGGATGGACTTGACTGTGGGAGTTACGTATCTGTGTGTACGTGTATGTGCACACGTGTGATGTTCACGTGCGTGCATGTGTTGCAGGCACACATGCGGATTGGTGTGCATTTGTATATGCCTGTACATATGTGTGTATGTGTGTGGCATGGGTGCAAATGTACGTGTCTGTGTGTTCGCATCCACACGTGTGGGTTTGCATTCGTGTGGACTCTGGTTGCCGAGGCGTCTGTACATGTGTGTGTCTGTGTGTGTGCGTGCGGACGTGGGAATCTATGTATGCACGTGTGGGTGTGCATATGTGTGCACATGTGTGCAAATATGTGCAAGGCATATACTCATGTGTACTATGTGGGTGTTGATGTAAGTTGTGCATGTGTGTACATACGTGTGTGCAGGTGTGTGGACGTGTGTGCATATAAATATATGGACATGTGCATGTGTGGGTGTGTGCTCATAACTGTGTATAAGTGTGTGGAAGTGTGCACGCACGTGTGTTGCTGTGTGTCTAAGTGTGTACATGTGCATGCGCGCACACGTGTGTGTGACTGTGAGTCCTTGGGGGCTGTGCCCCGAGCATTTCTGCTGGGGCATCACTCCCACCAGTGGAGAGGCTCTTTCCCAGTTCTGAGATGCTTGAGCGTGGTGTCGTCATCCCCACTTCAGCGCCTCCCTGACATCTGGAAGAAGCCCCATTTGGGGCCACCCCCGTGTGTTTCTGAATCTCCCTTTGCTGTCCCTCCTGGCTCTTGTCTCCTGTGCGCTTCCTTTCCAGTGTCTTTCCTTGCTGGGTGTGTGTCTGTTTTCATCTCTTATCTTACGTGGGCGGCCTGTCCCCCAGACTGCGTAAGGTTCCGGCCCTAACGCGTCTCCCAGGGCTGCGTGCGCCTCCGGACCTGGGCTCGGCCGCATCTGACGCTCCGGCGATGGCTGCAGTGTGGACCACGCCTGCGTGCACGGACTCCCAGCCTGTGTCCTGCACGCGCCCCAGCCCCAGGAGCCAGCGGTCACACGCGCTCCTGCCGTCACGGGGCGGCGGTGCGGGCCCAGCACGCGTTCTCTGCGTGCGCCGTTGCACGCTGTTTCCGAGCAGCTCCACCCAGCAGGGCGCCCGGACGCGCGGCGGCTCCGGGCTGCGGTTCTTATGCAGGAAGTCTGCTCCGCGGTGAGCGTCCCCCAGTCTCGCCAGCCCGGGCAGTGCTCCGTATTCTCCAGGTTTGGTCTTTGAGCATCTTTTCCCACGTTGTCGTCACGCTGGCGTCCGGATAATGGTATTTTCGGCCTTTTCCACTGACGGGCCCACTGGTGCTTCAGCTGTAGCTCGAGGCGGCTGCTCCGTCTTCCGTGCGTGTGTGCGTGTGACTGTGCTCTCGGTAGCGACATTTAGCCCCACGTGTTAGAAACGTTATCCGCACGAGCATCGTGGCTCACGGAGGCTGGGTGTACCCTCGGTTATGTTGCTGAGGGAGCAAATAGGATGTCGCTTCTCTCCCTGGGCCTGGGGGGTATTTTCCAAATCACGCCTGCTCTGTTTTATCTCTGCGTCACCCCCCATGGCGCCCGCCAGTCCGTGGGTGGGGAGCGGACACGGGCCCTGTGGTCGGGTTCTGGGGCGCGGACTGGTGATGCCCACCCCGCACTGCTAGGACCGTGCCTCCGGGCTGCTGGGTCATGGGGACGGCCGCTTGTCCGCGTGCTTTCGTGCTTCTCCGTGGCGCGTGCGTTTGCATCCCTCCCGGTCCGTGCTCTCGCTGTCCCCGTGGCTGCGAACGAGCCGCTCACCGTGGAGAGGCTGGGCTTCTTCAGGAGGGATCCCCGTGTCCCCGGCACTGTTTCTATGGCCTCGCTGTGCTGTGTGTAAGAACGCACTTATTCCTAGTTGCAGACCTATCTGTTATTTCTTTTGGTGGTTTCATCTGGTGCTTTGGGAACAGGAGGGTGAGTGCTGACGGGTCCCTTCCGTGTGTCCCTGCCCATCTCAAGACTGGGTGAGTCAGGACCGTGCCCTGCATGCCTTTCCTGTTGGCGCCTGGGGCTTGGGTCTGTCACATGGTGGCGGCTCCCTGGGCAGCTCCGTCCCCTCTCCTCAGGGTCGCTCCCTGCCCCTTGCTGGCCCGGCTGATTTCAGCTCCCAAAGCCCGTCTCTGGGGCAGCTCAGACGGGCTTGGCTCCCTCTTGGAGGCTTCAGGTACCTGCGGGCACCTGGCACCGTACTCTGCCTGGGGACGGCCCAGCAAGCAGGCCCAGGGCAGCAGGAGGCGGCCACGCGGCTATGGGTTACAGGTGAGGGACGTGCGACCGTACAGCTGCTCAGAGTCAGTGCGTGTTTTCATGTTGTGACTCAGTTAGCGAAGAACACGATTTCATAGCTGCTTTTAGGGCCTTTTCTAGACCCTGGGCCAGAAAGAGGGCACACCGGTGATATGTGAGGGGATATTAGCAGACGTACCCTGATTCCAGGAGGGAGTGCTGGGGCCACACCCCGATTCTGAGGAAGGGTTTGGAGGATATGCCCCAGTTCTGGTGGGGAGTCCTGGGGGGACGCACCCTGATTCTGGGACAGGGCCCTGGGGGACAGGCTTTGGTTCTGGGAGGGGGTGCCGGCTGGGATGTCCAGCTCTGGAATGACCACTGTGTGGGGGCAGGTGAGCCCACTGGCTTCTGCAGGCGGCAGCAGATGCCGGGGTGGGGGCGTCTAGGAACGGGGTCTTGGGTGACGTGAGCCGGGGGAGGAGCATAAGCAGAAGCTGACGCTGGTGTGCGTGGTGCGTGGTGGTCACGGGAGGCCTTCATGTGTGGCCTCAGCTGTGAGGACCCGGGAGACAAGGGAAGGGGCAGGGAGGTGTGTGCACACGGCCGCATGTGGGAGCTCCGATGGGTCCTCGCAGGAAGGAAAAGGGCTCAGGCCGAGGTGAGGACTTGGAGGCAGGGGCGGGCGCCGTGAGCGTGCACCGAGCAGGGCCGGGGAGGCTTCCCGGAGCAGGACACGCGGCACGTCAGAGCACGACCAGGTGCTCCCTCCTCCCCAGGGCTGTGTCTGCAGGACTGACCCGGCTTGGGTGAGAGCGGGCTTGCAGGAGGGGAGGGAGGGAGGGGAGAGCAGGGCCCGCGCTGAGGTGCCAACCCTCGGCGTTAGAACCTGTCTGTCCCAGCGGCGGGTCCGGACACCGTGGGACGCACGGCTCTGCTCCAGAATCGGGCCGGACGGCTCTCATCTGTGACTTGCAGATCTGATGCCAACAGGTTCTCCACGTTCGTCTGTTCTGCTTTGGGGCGGGTCGTGGGGTGCTCCGTGCCCCCCGGGAGGAGCTGCTCGTCGCTCCCCTCCCCCCACATTGTCATTTAGAACTAACACCTAGTGTCTGTGGAGACAGATCTAGAGGATGGTACGGCTGGTTTGCTTGCAGGACCTGAGTGAGTGCTCCTGCCCTACCAGCAGAGCCGCGGGGTCGGGCGAGGGTGGCAGGGCTGTCTGAGCACCGGACGCCTACTCTACTTCTAGAAGCGTCTCTGCTGTACGTTGAGAAGCTCCCTGAGTTGCCAGTGTCCCCAAGGCTGACTCCTCTGGGAGGGACTTGGTGTGTGGAGACCACTCCTCCCACAAATCAGTGTGGACACGGGCCGCTATGGCCCCTGCGCAGGGTCGTGGCCGAGCACAGGGGTGTGTGTGATCCAGAATGTTCTTCCCGCCCGAGCTCACACCCTGATGCTTCTGTGTTGTGGTCTGCTCTGTAAGGAGTTTATTCCACTTTCCAATCTGG